GATGCTCCGGTGTCACTAGTTCACTTGTTTTTACTTTCACACTCTGATGTTGGTAGCATGCATTGAATAAGGTTGATTTCAGCTTTTCCAACTCCAAGGCTGACGAGGGAACGAGATCCGAAAGTTGTGCATAGAGATTTTCAAACTCCAACTCAACATCAAGTTGCTTAGATCTGCCATTAGGACAACCAAACTTTGGTCCTAGAGACAATACTTCTAGCAACATTTTGTCCAGATTTACACATGATAGATTATGAACGTACTGCTCATTACGTATTTCAACGTGTCGCTCTTCGCTGGTTTTAATCTGCGTGCGTTTTCAAGTTAAGATTTGAACTAAGCATGGAAGGCGTCCTTTAATGAAGTGTTTAGGTCCTATGCATTTCGGTGGTTGCTGTCTCCTTGTTGTACGTATTCCTTATTAGAGGTTTTGTAACAGTATTCTTCTGCTCAGCACTCCCCTGTTTGTAGAGGGGATGCAATCATTATTGTTTTTCTATGGAGATATATTTTGATTACATCACCGTTGAATATTCTTTTCTGGTTTCTCGTTAGCTCGCAAGTTATCTATTGACAGAATACGAATTTATTTAAATTAACCAAACTTCGTTATATACAAGTGAAAGCAAAATGCGTGAATGTATACAGTGTAAGGGGAAAAACTCACTCCACATAAGCATGCCTTCAGGAACCAGGCGACTAAATGTCTTATCGTCCCCGTCACGTACAGCCCGTTGCAACTGGATTACATCTGCCTGATACGTGTCTATGTTTTTCAGCAATCCCAGAAGTTCTGTGTGACATTTGTTTGCCGCAATCTGTGTAGCTGTCCGAGGTTCCGGAAATCCCATTTTTGCCTCATGAATAGCATCGTAGCTGTGCACGAGCAACAATTCGATAGCAGTGATCGAATTCATGGATACGAGCTGAGCAACCCTACGATCAATCAATTGGTGAGGTTTTAGCATGGCCTGCGTAGCAGGATCAATTATCTCACGCAGCTCATAAAGGTCGGGGGACTGGATGCAAAAAGTAAAAACAATCGGTGAGAATAAATCATAAAACAAAGAAGCGTAAAAAATACATCATAATATTATGATAAATTATTCCTAGGCGCATGGTCGGACTCAATGCAGTATCCAGCAAATAGCACACGTGCCTATTTTGTTCAGGCCAGGGATTCATTCGTGGTTCGCCCGCTTGTTTAGATTTCGCTATCAGATAAGGGAAAAACTCTGTCGATATAACCTAACCTATTGAGTTTAATGATGAGCAGAACTAAGTTTAACACAAATCTGCAAACGCTCGTCGCATGTAATTGCACTTTGACCCAAATTATTAATGAAAGCTTGCAACTCGAACCGGTGGTATAATAATGTCTGCGTCTTCCACATCACAAAACGGTCTCAAGGAAAAACTTTAAGATCGCAATTCTTGTTGTGGGAACAGAACCCTTTCAAAAATCATAATTTCTGCAAAGTTAATGAGAGGAGAGAGTAGGTAATGAAAACGAAGAACGTAAATAAAGAGCCGCGGCAAATATTTAAATTCCTGGACAAGCTCTGCAAGGAGCGGAGCGCGTTCAACTAAGACCGAGCCAGATTTCAGATTAAGGATCAGGGACCAAGGGATTATATGTCTACGGAAAGATTGCGTGTGTTAAAGACTAGTTTGGAGTGTGAAAATATGTTAGGTGCGTTTTCGGGTGACCCAAAACCGTGATGGTTCACATGTGCACACATTCCCCATGGGCCAGACAATCGGCGACACATTATGTCAGCGAGGAGATTATAGCAGGTTTTCTAAGTTAATTCCTCTGTGAATTTTACAACTATATATGATTTCTCATTTTCATAACTTCGCATGCCAACCAATTTGCATCAATTAATTGGAATGCGCTTACATTTCCATTCCTTACATAGGAGTTTCGTAAATTCAAAATCCAGGACTGACTCTGCAGTTAAATAGGTGGATGTAGAAATTACAACAGGTCCAGATGACCTGTATCTTGCAGGATAATTTATCTCCGGAGTGACCTGCATTTTTAGAGCAGGTTGATAGCAAGCAGCAGAAGGAACTGGACGACAAAGAGCAATTAAACTCTTCTCTCTCTCTAACCACAAACCCTTTTGACCGTTTTGTTGTTTCTAGTTCATTGTTTTCATACAGGTTAGGTGTTGCATCATCTTGGTTATTAGATCTTATCAACAGCAAAGTTACCGCTTTCCACTGATATAATAAAATACACAAAATCTGTTTGTGCTATATTCGGTGAATCATTAATCTCGGAAACACACTTCTGAGAAGAACTTTCAGCCGCGATTCGTTTGTCCTTGTATTCGAGTAAACTGTGCCGGATTGCAATGAGTGATCACAACTCATAGATCAATCCACACACTCCCTAATCGTCTGTGTATCGTCTATCGTCTGTCGTATTGTCTATCGTCTGTGTAGCATACTGTAACATATTTCCGGATTATTCTTGAGTTCCTCGGTGGCGACAACTGTTCATCACGCAGAAGAAAAGCGCGAATCACAATCAAGGCAACCATGGGCAGAGAAAAATGGGATTTCTGTTAGCTAGTGAATAGGTTCGATTATGATTTACTATTCGGATGCAATACTGTTAATCCTTTCACTGTATCCTTGCCCCATTGTTAAGTATCTTATCAAGTGTGCATTTCAATGCCAGAAATATGTACGTTGATTCAAAGGAATCGGTGTTATTTGACGGAATCACGGCCCCACTGGAATTTACCCACTAAGATATTGAGGGCCTAGACGGAATCCACTCATGCAATTTTTCACCCCAGCATTCACGCCTGGGCATGGTGACCGAGTTATCGATCCATCTTGACGTGATTCGCTTCCTCACCTGATCGGTCAATGAACTCCGGGTTCGTTCATTCTAGTCTATGACGCACACCCGAGCAACGATCACGGGCACAACGTTTCAGGGTGGGTCGGGGGAAGGCCACCGAAACTTTCACCCTCGCTCGGTAACTCACTCAAAAGTACTTTTGTTTTCGAAGAAGTGAGTTCATTCGGACTGGACGGTCCAATCGGTGACTTTTGACGGTCAAAACATCAATCATCTTGTGGAGTTCCCAATTGGTTGGATCCACTTGAAGTTCCAACGGATTGACCTGAAGTTACGGCGGATTCGCATGAAGTTGAAAAGGTATAGAATGTTCTGCTCATCAATCCGAATATAAATAATTTACCTGGGTCTTGGTTATGTGCCTGTGTCTTACTTTGAATCGAGGCATGGAATTCAATTTTGATTTTGAGATTCTAACCGAAAACGACCATGTCTTCTGTGGAGCTTAGGTAAGTGATCAACAAGTTGGAAGTATTCTACAACAAGCGGTATCCAACAAGTGCAATTGTCATCACCGCCGATAATGGGTAGCCCTGATGAACCTAAAATTCAAGAGAAATTCATTTGGTCCAGTTTTGCATATCCTCCTGTATTCATTTATTACTTTGATAAATGGCTGAATCTAGAGCCGATTTGCGTAGGTCATCGACATTTCACTACCGGTATCCGTCTTCGACGGGTTGATTGCAGCTGTTTATTAGGATCAGGCAGAATTTTTGCTGGTAGTAATGCATGATTGGTGACGAGAGACAAAGATCCTTGAAAATGGCGGTCTTAAGTGGATCCCTGTCCACCGTATTTATAGGCACTATGATCACTGTAAGTCCCTTACTATGAAGAGTGGAAAGGATTACATTTAAGTCAGCGTCCTTTGATGCGCAAGAGATTAATGTTTGATAGAAGAAGGTAGTATGCGTTTTTCGTCCAGTTGAACATGATGGCATGTGATCCGCCCCCGCGCCTTTACAACTCATGCGTAGAACCTCCCTAGGAGTGAAACCAGAGGACACAAACGATGCCACCCAAGACTAGAAGAGAGACATGTGAAGAGTTATTATTTTGATTGAAACCCTTTCTATTGTACCCGGTTTCCTGTTCGACGCTCCAGAGAGTTGAATGTTCATCTGTTCTGTGTTGCCTCCTTGTGTGTGTAATCCGTGCTCTCGGATCATCATAATATACACCTCAGTTCGTGTCGTGTCCTTGGAATAAATCCGATTGACTGTGAATCCTGTGCGTTCGATGTGATTTTCCTTGTTTAATAGATGCGTGTCGAAGTTATTGTGATTGCCATTACTCTGCGGGACCAAATTCAATTGAGGGGCTCTTGTGGAATTATCTACTATGTCCAGGACTGTGTTGCATACTGACGAACTACCCGACTACGATAAACTACGTTTCCGGTGACCCTGCCAGGATGCATTATGCCGAAGAAAACTACCCCTGAGGAATCAGAACCTGAAGAATCCCCAAACGGCTTTTGGGAATTTCGGAACCCTGTTGTCCCAACTTCTGCCTGTAGTCCGGGGCGAAAAGGTACACACTCAACCCTCCGCGAGCCTTCCCCCACC